AACTATGTATAAGTCTTTTTTTCCAACTTTTCCCAAGTAAACCAACTTCTCTAAAAAAACCTCACCTTTTTTGGCTTTATTAAGCTTTGGCCTCAACTGAAGTTCCTGAATGCTTTGAGTATATTCTAACTAATAAGGTTTTCAACCCCCTGAGCATTTGTATTTCACTTTGAATTAATCTTTGTCAGATGAGCTCCAGGCATCACTAAAGCAGAGTGAACTGGTTGCATAAAACTTCAAGTTCAGTTCCTAATATACTAATATACAGAATAGATAATTTGCCTATCTTCAGAAGATCACACACACACACCGTGGAACAAATTCCTACTAATTAAAAATTGTTCCATGGGAAGGGTGGAAGAAGAGGTGGAGTATTCAAATATTCTGAAAGATATTTAATTGAATTTCTTTCCTTCAACCAGCATTCAGTGCCCAGACAATAGTCCAGATGGAACTGTGCAATTTATTTTAAGGATGACATGCTGTACAGTCACATGCATCTGTAGATATGGATAAAACCAAAAGAGAAAATGCTAAGTGAAACTAAATATGAACAGAAGTATAACAGACTTCCCCAGTCTTCATTGTGAAATGAAACAGAAAAAGGAAACAACAGGTACTGAAGACAATAAGTCAAATAATTAACGTGGTCTTATTTTATAATTAGAAGGTTCAAGTTACACTAGTTAAAAACATATATTTCTGAAATGGTGTCCTCTTCAGTAGAGGATACAGAAATTATATTTTGTTATCTTTTGCAACCTCCAGGAGAAAGTGCTTCACAATGAAACACTCAGATCTATTTTTCTCCAATTTCAATATATCATCTTTAGTTAAAACACTAACATGTGTCATGGTGCACATACCACCAGCTGCTCCCACCTTTTAAACATATCTCCACGCAACACCACGCAAGCAAACGGAGCTTTTGCACTGCAATTTCCTCGTTTTATAATAATGATTACACCCTTTAGTTTACCAAGAGCAATTAGGCCTGTCTGAATGAGTAAAATGACTACATTCTGTGGTCTCAACCTCGATGTGAATCCCTGTCAAAACACAAGCTAACGTATTTGTTTGCACATTAACCATCCAGGTCTTAACCTCAGTTTCCAATAGCCCTCAAGAAAGGACCCAGGGTAACGTGTCTAACATTTCTCAATTCTTCAAACTCAAAGCATGCTATAGTTACTGACAAAGGCTTTTTGTTTTCAAAAAGTCCACCACATACCAAAGATAAACAAGACAAAACAAAGGATTATTAATCTTCCTGAAAATAACAATGTTTGACAAGAAAAATAAGCTTAGAAACAATGCTCAGCCCAGTGTTACACTGACTTGCTCTCTTGCTTCTGCACGCTTCTATCTGGGCAATTATTCTTCATTTAAGATGTTCTCTCATGTTCCCTGAAGTTTGCTTTAATAAGTTGCTATTTAATAGCATTTAGAGCAAGAAAAGCAAAACAATTTGTATTTTATAGTGAGCTGCAAGCCACTCAATATGATTCATTGTAGCAAAGATTGTCTGAAAGGATGCTTCACATCAACCCTGTGTTATTCCAGCACTGAATGCAATTCATGTACCCAACAAATAATTACGCAAAAGCACATTATAGCAGTACTTGATGGACTAGCACACAGCAGTTAGAATAAATACATAGTATCTTGCAACCCAATACCCAGGAGCTTGTCATTTACAGCCCATCAATACTGAACAACTTTCTACATAAGTACTAATCTTTAACATATGTGCATGAGTAATAGCTTTATTTCTCACACAGATAGCCCTAACTTCAGAAGACTTTAATTTTTTTTTTCTCTGAAACAATTCATAAAATAAAATGTACATTTCCAGAAAAAAAAAAAACAAACTCTTTCACATTAAATATCCCAAGACTTTGGAATTTAAAACTAATATGCTGAACTGGCTTCATCAAGTATTTTAACCTGTTACTTAATATACAATTACCTTTCACAAGAAGTACTGATTTAGGATAAGCCAATGCAAGCTGCAACGAGGGAAATTCTGGCTAGATAAGAGACAAAAAAGTTCACAGCAAGGGTGGTGAAATGCAGCATGCCTAGCAAGGCTGCAAAATGTCCATCCTTGGAGACATATATAACTCAGACAGATGGGGCCCTGAGCAACCTGATATCACCTGGAAATTGTAGCCCTGCTTTGAGCAGGGGTTTGACAAAATGACCTCCTAAATTATTCTATAATTGTATGACAATGTAGGGGATGCCCATAGGCACACGGAAAGTATATCCACACCAGATGTCTTACTATCTGCTTGCTGCTTTTTCATCTTACAGAAAGAGAGAACAGAACATCACTGGATGCAGACATAAGATCACTCTACTTGAGCTATGATGGACTGCACAGCTTTAAAAGGAAGACACCCATCACTTTGTTCAGTTTAACAGTGAGAGTTAGGCTCACTGTTAATTAACCGCAACTGTTGTAGGAACATATTCTTCCCCTCAACCCTTCTGGATATATAGCCTGCCCTGAAAGCAAGAAGTGGCAGAGAACCCATGCTGGAAATGTGCCTGCGGACCATCATGCAAGCAGAGCCCTGGGATGCTTTCAGCCACCTAAAGTAGCTAGTGGTTTGGGGGAATGGATTTGAGAACCAAAGGCAAGTAAGGGGCCACATGATAAAGTCAAGCGGTTGAGTCACACAGCTGGACTACAGATTTCAGTCTGTGTTCCCAAGGCAGCTTGTGCACCTTCCAATAGAGCAGCAGGCACAGCATATACAGCACTTGGGCAGATTTTGAATGGGATTTGCCAGACTAAGAAGCCACATCGTGTAGAGAAAACACCTACAAGGTGTTTTTAATTCAGAAAGTCACCATCTCCCGCAGAGAGGAAAGAAGCTGCTGAATAGGCAGCGAGTGGTACCTTGCTTCTTTGAAAGGCTGCATCAGCCAGGTTGTGACACATTCCTACCAGCTCACTTTGCTTTTAAGTTGGGAAGAAGAAAAAAAAAATCTAGCACTTCATTGATGGACAGCTGCCAACTCCCTCAATGACTGTGACCACCAGGTCTCTCTCTCACCTCAGCCGAGTGCTATAACCATTAATACTCTCCACTTTCACTCTCCCAAAGTCAGATCTCTCGCCTTTTAGCCTTCTGGCCTTTTGCCATATTTCTGCTTTTGCATTCCTGGACACATTAAGGTCCAGCTTAAGAACTGTGATGGAGCATGCTCCCTGCCAGGACACTGAAATCCTTAGCAGGTTAAGAGCTTGCTCTGAGGCTGTAGGTTCAGATCCAGGCAGGCTGCAGACAACCTAAATGTAGAGCTTCCACATTCTGAACCAAGGACACTAGTTTCCACGTGACCACGCCATAGGTGGGCATGTACATCATTGCCATTAGTTTTGGTCAGAAAAGGCTTTGGGGTTTGACAAGAGCACATAACTATAACCTGACATAGGAGATTTAAACTGTTCCCAAAGGCTGTCACAGATGCCTGCCTAAGTGTGCTTACTTGTGCAGCCCAAACTAGCATTTACCTGTCCCCACTTGCAATAGGGGAACTCCAGCTATGGTAAAGAGAGCAGCAGCACCTGATCATTGGCCCTGGTGACACAAAGCTGATAACAAACAAAACCAAAAAGTTCCATTCAAGGCATCTTTTAGAAATAACAGAAAGGAAAGAAATTCATTCTAAATCTTCACTAAAGTTCTGAACCCACTTCAAATAATGAATGCCTGTATTCCCTCAAGTGCTTGTGTTATTCACAGTGCCAGTGAGCAAAGAACTCGGACCATGTTCCTCCTGAACCAATACTACTTTAACTCATCTTTAAATAATTTACCAAAGAGTTAAGTGCAACTCAAATGTTGCATCAATAATGTCAAGAGAAAAAAATCTGAATATTCTTTTGTAAGCAAATCCAAAACTAAGAGAAAACTCAAATGAAAGCACGGGTTCTCAGACAGACTGCTTGAGACCTTTTATTCCTCAATCTCAGAAACACAGATGTAAGGTACTATTAGAACAACCTAAACTTAATTCAAGAAACTAATTTCCCATAACCTAATCTAAAATTTTAAACAGATCTCAAAAGAGAGGAATATGTCCTCTAGAAAATGTTCTGCTGACTTCAAAAAAAAAAAAGATCTGTATAAATTAGCACATATGAGCAGCAATTTCTCATGAATGTTAATATAACCAAAATAAATCCAATAAACATGAAGGGAGAAAAAAATTGCAAGCAACATAGTTATTGCTTATCTGGAAGAAATGCAAGTTAGGATAAACAGGAATTTTATTTTGTCCTGGTGACACAGCAGCAGTAACACTTTCAAAGTTCCATCACCAACGTCCCATTGACTGCCAGTACAGTTTAGGTCCTGAAGCACTTCTATTGCTTTTGCAAATAAAGATGAGGTTATTTCCAAAAGGTTACCAAGAGTAGCTACTTTTCCATTTAAAGGAACCATATGCTGTGCATTTAACTGTAGGTGTCCCAAAAGCCTTCATGCTTTATCCCTTCCCCCACTACCTCAAGTCCACTGTCTGAGCCTGCCACTCATGACATCGGACTTTATTATGATTGGAAGTTCACTGAAGCAAGAAGCATCTCTAATATTTATTTGGATGGTGCCTAGTACACAGTTTCAGGCTGTGAGACATATGTTGGAATTACTGCATTACCAAGCTGGGGAAATAATTCAACCAGTTAACAAGAAATATTTTAAACTGATGATAGGCATTAACAGTTGATGGATACTTATGCCTTCTGTAGGTGGCTCTTTACCATAAAAAAATATTAAGTGCAAGACCGTCAAATAACTACAAAGTCTTCCTTCCTGAGGAAGTATATTAATATTAGAACTGCAATATCTGTTCTTAGAAAAATTTAAAATGTCTGAATCCAGCTAATTGGCTGGCACAATTATGAAGAAAACAACTGACAGCCAATTCAACATTGGGAAGATACAAGATTCTACATCACTGTCAACATACTGAAAGTTAAATACCTCTTTATTGTCCCTGGAAGATCCAGACTACATGGAATTTGGTAGGAGGATGCTAAAGTGTCATCCACAGCCTTTCTTATTTCCTGTAGTTCTCTCAGAGAAACACAGCCAAGTAAAGCAGTCAGTTCACAGTCCTGTGACTGAATAAGCCTATCTTGTTCTTCAATTTCTCTTCTTAGCTGTTGATCTTTTGCTTCTAATATGGCCAGTCTTGCTCGGATGTCTTCTATTTCTTTCTGCATAGAACAGAAACCTGAGTTTATTATGAACCCTGCTAAAGAAGCCGCTCTGCCCCTAGAAAAATGCAGTACAAGTCTCAGAAGTTGCATCAATTAAGGTTGTCCAATTTAGCACAACATTAAATAAGAAGACGTTCTTTTGTTGACACACAAAAATTCTTACGTCTGTTGTATTTAGAAACTCCATTGTTCCCACAGTCTGAAACTCCCCACTTCCATTTCAACACCAAATTTCAGGTTCCTCTTCTAACACCAACTGTTAGTCACCTTTTACGTTTCAAATACACAGGTATTTCCCAAGTTAAAAACTTTCCCCCAAAAACCAAAATCTCAGTTCAACCATGACAACAGAATCTTGTTACAGACAAGCAGCTAAAGTGATCAACCATCTATCTGTCCTCCTGCAGAATATCCCTGTAATGGTTCCTCTAGGCTTCCAATCCAACATCGGGCACAGGATGGAAGTGATGAATCGCCAACTGTCTGGCCAGTCCTTTTGATTATTAATATTTAATTTTAATTAAAAGCACAAAATCCCTCCCTTGACTTAAAATAACCAGAGCTTCAACCACAGTTGCACTCATCTTGCCAGAAGTTCAAACCCCATGCATTATGATACTGATGTTTCTTGCAAGAGCATGTTCTAATTTTTCCTTGAAAACCCAACAGATAGCTTGCACCCAATGAAGGAGCACTTCATGAAGGAGTCTGGGTTGCTGAATTAATAAAGTTATTAATATATGTTATATATAATATATAAGT